TTAATATTTGCTAATATGGGAGGCAGTGGGAATCTTCAATGGACTCAGCAGTATATCTCACAGATGTCCGGCCAGGGGAACTCGTTGCAGCCACATCCTTCTCAGCAAGCCTCCCATATGTATGCGCATACGCACACACCACCGCAACCTCAGCCCCAACAATACCCGCCGCCTCAACAACATAATCAACAGCAACATCATCAGCAACAGCATCAGCAACAGCAACAGCAACAGCAACAGCAACAGCAGCAGCAGCAGCAACAACAACAACAACAACAACAGCAACAACATCAGCATCAGCAGCACGTGCCTCACCCTTCACAGCCCGCTCCTTCACCAGTCTCTCATTGCCGTCCTCCGTCTCCTCAACAGCCGCAAGCACAATCTATGCCCCCACCTCTTCAAATACCAGCAGCAGCCCAACATGCACCGTCCGAAACTCCATGGGATAGTCGCATGATTCCTCCAAACCCTTACGCTGCACAACTGCCTCCTTCCATAGCCGGTCCTTCTCAGTCATCACCTTTATCTCCATCTTCTCATCCTTCGTACGGCCGTGCGCCATCATCCCGCCCGCCCAATCCGAGTCAGACTACGGGTCATCCAATGCCCAACGCAGCCCCATTGTCACGTATTAACACAGCTGAAATGCACATCCAACATCCTCACACCAACACTGAAGCGAATGCATCATACACCGTCTCGCCTCCAGCAACGAGACCTCAACAGCAACAGCAACATCGGTCGTCATCACCATCACTAGCCAAATCCGATTCGGGAGCTGGCACAGCACCAGCTCATCCCCAATCGCAATCGCATCGACCTCAAATTAGTAGTCAGTCACAGTCATCATCATCTTCCCCCTCAATATACTTCCATCACTGGGTCCCACCGAACCAATCATTAAACCACAATAATAGTCCCTCAACATCAGCAGGTGGGACAAGTACCAGTAAAAGCCCGAATAACTCACCGTATTCCGCGCATCTCAATTCCCATCTGCGTTCTGATTATCAGAATTCTCCGAGGAAGAGGAAGCCGCAGTTCGTACATCAACCAGTCCCGCCACCTCCAAGAGCTGAGACATCGCCGGGAAGGACGCCGCCAAAGGGCAATGGGCGGAGTGGGGGACATATGAAACATCAGAACCAGTCACAAAACCAGTCGCAACTGCAGGGCCAGGAGCAGAATTATTCTGGCGATTTCCCGGAACTGGGGAGACATGGGCAAATGCATGTGGCATCATTAGTTCGGGCTGAGGAAGACGAAAATGGTCAGCCGACATCGGGGCGGGGTTCGAACAATTCGGATCGGGACCGGGAGCGGGAGCAGGAACGGGAGCGGGAGCGGGAGCGGGAGAGCAGTGCTAAGCGGGAACGGAGTAGTGGGGTGCGGTTTGTTGCTGGTGGTAGCGGTGGTGGTGGTGGTGGTGGAGGAGGGACAGGGGCAGATTCTCGAGATGATTTACCACAGGGCGGTTCTGCCGGAGGAAGTCCTGAACAGCCACCACCTACCCCAAGCAATAATATCAATAATCAGAACCATGGACATCGTTCCTTCAGTGGATATGATGCTGGTTCAGGTTCTGGTTATGGTCATGGTGGTCATGGTGGTCGTGGACATGCACAGGGACAGGATGGCGACGGACCCCCACCACTACAACAGCAACTTCCGCCAGTCAAAACAGGGATTTCCAGCGGCCATGCGAACACATACCGGTCACCTACGGACCCATCTCCGGTTCATGCCAGTTCGAGAGAGGAGGCAGAGGGGCAGGCGGCGGTGGGTTGATGGTTAGTGTTGCTTGTTTGAGCTTTCTTTTTTACCCCCTTTTTGCTGACGTATGGCCTCTAAAAAGAGTTTTTATTTATTTATTTATTTTTAATCATTCACAGCTATCTTTTGTTGTTGGTTATTTTCTAATATTGTTAACAACATCACATAAAGTCACATTTTTCATAGTTAGGCATGATGTGTAATTTTGCAGATTTGTAACTCAGTTTGTTCCGCCCCGCAACTCTTATTTCATATTTTTCTCTGGGAATATGGGGAACTGATGTTTTTATCAATTCTGATTTTTTTCATTTTTCAACTTATTCTTATCTATGGTTTTCACTCCTTTCTGTGTGAAGATTTTGTCTGTTGATATGGATTTATTAGATTCCTTGCATTCATTTTGACACATACATGTATATTCCTGTTTATTTGTTGTAACTAATTGTACAGCCCCCCTTTTTTCTTTATTATTTTCAACACTTTATATATATGTCAGAGCTTTTCTAATCATGATTTCTTCTTCTTTTCACATTTTCATCTACAACATTTTGTTGCTGTCCTCCGTAATCCGCAGCTTCACAAGTTACTGTATTGGGAAAAACAATTGAAGTGACGCTCCCCCTTCTCCTCTATTTTTGAATCTGAAACTCCATGTATAGTTTTTGGAGTTGAATGAAATATAAAGTCATTGTGTCTTGAACCTGCAATATTTTTACTGTACCTATGAATTATCATCAAGAATACTTATTTTGTTTCTGTTCTTCAAGTGTGATTGATTATTTCTATCAGAACCTAAAGCCTCTGTCAATCCATGTTAACAGTGTAGCATTATCACCAAACTTAAGAAGACACGTTCGCTCGCATCAGCCAAAAAAGCGAAAGTGTTCATAATGTGAGATGCAAAGCATTAGTGATTGGTGCTAGCTTCGAAAAATCCCTTGTGACGACAACGTATTGGTTTGACTGGCAAACGAAGGTGGAGAGACAGGGTTTTATGAATGGTAAAGAAAAATTGAAGGGGTTCGACAATTTGTAAGAAGGAGAATGAAGTATCAGGGCAAGAAAAAACAAATGCCCCCGGCCAGGATCGAACTGGCGACCTTGAGATCGCTAAGTAGTTTCTGCTACCTATCATATTGTAATAGGACATGAATATGAGACTCACGTGATAACCAACTACACCACAGAGGCGTTGCTTGTTGAGCGAGGAGTGTGATAGGCATGTATTTGTTAATACAATATAAACGGCTTGATGTGCATCGATTTGAAAGCTGGATATATTCTTTGCTATCAAATCTCTATCCCATTTCATAAATTTAAGAATTTCAATCTCGAGCTGCAATGACCCACGAGAATTCTCTAGGCGAATTCGCGGATATCGACGCGAAACCCATACCCATCACAGAACTCATTCGCAGGAACACATTCACGACCAGAAAGACTGTCACGGAGTGAATGATTTACAACAGCAAACCGCTGTATCTCCATTTCACGTAACATATCTGCCATCTTCACACATGCCTTAAAGATTGAACGACGCTAACGAGATCGGTATTCGTTATTTCTATATAGAGCCATACCACGACCCAGTGCACTCCTCCATCCTTCCTCTGTTTTCTGCCCCACCACGTCAACAATGGACCCGCTGACTTCATGCGAATCCGTTCAAGCAACGGTCTGCAGCATCATCACGAGCCTGCCCCGCGAAAAATGCAATAGCAATGAGATATATGAGGCACTCCGTGTGAATATCTAACTCCATAGGTACATCATCCACCGGGCCAACATGGAAGGCCGAGATGACTCTTCTACACCATCATCAATTTTGTTGCTGTTGGGAACCCGGAGGCATTTTGGGGAATCGGAAGCTTTTATATTGTTTGGGGAATTTTCAGTATCGGATATTTTTCGTGTTTTGGAGGTGTCGCTGGTCGTTGTCATCTTCTTCCTCTTCTCCTCCCTCTGCTTCTTCCTCTCCGCCTTCTTCTTCTTCCTCTCTGCCTTCTTCTCCCTTTTCTTCTTCTCTTCCTTCTTCTCCTTCAGAGCCTTTGCTGTCCCTGACACATTTTGCACCTTGGTCTCCGTTTGGATAAAGACCTCTGCCTGGCTCACCACTAGGTTTCGCTTCTTGGATGACACTCTTCTCCAGTGTTGTTTCTTTGAAAGCAGCATCCCGAAATTTGCAATCCAGAGATGGGTTTCATCGGCCGGCCAGACCTGGTAGTAGAAATCCTCGGCTCCCTTGACGGTCGGATGCACCATTTCAATGCGTGATACCGCAACCCCTCCAATTGCACCTTTCAGAACTGGCTCCTCTATAGTTTGATAATTGGTCAAGCCATCCGGGTGGAATCGATCTGGAGGAGGCGGGGATAACACCGTGATCTTTTCACCTCTTGAGATGTGGTATGCAAACACAGCCGAAGCACCTTTTATATATTTATTCCATGACTTCGTCGATTTTCTTGATTTCAAACAGGACGGATGGTCCGATACCATCAAGGGACCCATGGCTGTAGTCAGGGTCCGCATGCCTCATTCGTCTGCCCACTCCTGAGCTAGTTCGCGTGGCACTCCGCTCCACATGACTTGGCGGTTGCGACCCCATGTGTCCCTTTGGAACTGTTGACTGATTTGGTCTTCCTCTTCGATTGTCAGGTATGGAGGAAACTCCGATACACTCAACGATGAAGACCCCTGGCCACCCTCATGGGCTCTCAATATGTGAGGATTCATCGGTACAGCACAATCCGTTTATCGAATCCTTAGCCTGAACACGTGGGGAGTGCCTTCCGCCGATAAATACAATATTACAGATCTATGGCGTCGGACGGGAGCAAGACCAGTTCGAGATGATGATGTACTACGTTTGGCTGCATATTCCTACCACGGATGTTGGTGAAGCTATGAACTACATTGTCTCGAAGTTTATCATATGTCATAGATTGTTCTATTTTGCCTTTTCTGGTGCTAAAGCATGTTTGCAGAAGCCGCTCCAGAAAATCTTTGGCACGCCGGTCTTCCCTACATGGATTGGCCTCGATGATTTGGTTTACAATGGACCTCCAAAGGAGGATAGGAGTTAAAGAATGCCCACTCACTGATCAGGTCATTGTTTTGCTACGCGGCTGCTGATTGCCTGACCAAGGTTCCTAGCCCCCACATCAGGTTTAGTGATGGAATGCTTACGGATCAAGTAACCCTTGCAATTAGCCTCGTGGCAAGCTCGTTGCAGCGGAACATCCTATCCGGTTATGAGGAAAACAGGGACGGGAAGAACAATGGGCGTGGAAGTAACCAGAGACAGTACATCAAATCTGTACTTAAAGGTAGGGCGGAAAAGTTTTAGCTATTTAGTCGCCTAGTCTAGCATTCGCCCGTCCTGGCATAGTTAAGTGGTTGACAGTCCAGTTATTGTCCAAGAAAATGAGTGAAAGCGGTCAAGGGGAGCGAGGGTCACCAACGACCTATAGCAGATATGTATGTACCTCCTGCTTGCAGAATATGAGATGTTAACGGCTTATGCAGCTTTTTGGACTCCTCTGTCGTAGGTTTTCAGTGTTCCAGTTCGCCACGGATCTTCAAGATCCACGAGGCCCTTCTTCGGTCCAAAGGTGGAAGAATCTACGCAGGTTTCTTGGGCAAGTTTGAAGAAAAGACCGAGGGAACATACAGATTCAAAGAGACGACTGAGGGAACCTTGCTGAGGTATATTGAGTGGGTTTACCGTGACGACTATCCTGATGTGTTGAATTCGTTGAATTCTGAGGAAGCCACTGCGAACAGAGCTGCGGATCTGCCTCCCGCTGACAAGGAGGGGACGACCGACGCAAACCACCCCCTTCTGTGTCATATTAGAATGTATATCTTCGCCGACACCTATCTGATCGAGGAGCTGAAGTCTTTGTCATTCGGGAAGATCACTCGGTATCTTGAAAATGAGAAAAGGCCTGCTGACATTGACTCCCAGCTAGCAGTCATTCATATGCTTGATTTGGCGTTCTTGAATTTGCCTCCCAGTGACAATCTGCTGCATTGGCTTGGAATATACACAGCTTGGTGTCTCGAATGCCTCCGGATACAACCATATTTTCATGATATCGCTGGCAAACTAGCGCCATATATTATACGATATGTGAAACCATCGTCTTCCGCTCCATGGGACCCGAGCCTACACGCAAGCAACTTTCCAAGTTATGAGCCAGGGCGGGCACACCCGTATGAAGAGAGGTGGTACGCAGATGACAAGGAGGTGGAGACTGCGGATAGCTATTAGCCGGTGGCTTGATGACAGGAGGCGGAATGGACAACATGAGAACGGTCATTCACACTGTATTGGTAGAGAGCCTACTTCCTTCGTTGATAGGGCTCATGACAGTATATATAATAAGCTGGGCGCAGGTAGCGGCACATGCCAAAGGCCCACCGGCCCTACCACCGCCAGTCCTGCAAAGCACGCGTGCCACCAAGACCCAACCCGCACTCACGGCATATAAAGACCGAGCAATAACAGTCAGACTCAAGGACCACGGAATTTCCCAGCGTTTCCGGACGCTTTCAGCTGCCAGGGTAAAACAACAGGTTGAGGCGACCATTCGCAACCACGCAGCTACCAAGTCAGTAGCCGTGGTGGCCGCCCATCAACTCAAGAGCGGCGATATACAAATCTTCACCTCCTCTACAGCAGAAGCCGCGACACTCAGGGAGAACAGAGAATGGGTCAGCGGTCTTGGGCAGCACACAGAACTCATCGTGCCAACCTATGGAGTTATCGTCCACGGCATCTCTACGAACTCTATCAACATCAAAGACCAGAACACAACCATCCAACAGATACTTACAGACAACCATATAGTCATTCCCAAGGCGAAAATCTCATTCGTAGGATGGTTGACTCGGGAATCTCCCCTCAAACGCGCATCCTCAATCGTGGTGGAGTTCACGGACCCTCAAATGGCCAATGCCATCATCTACACCTGGATGGCTTGGGACGGACAGATTCACACATGCCAGCTCTATGACTGTGCCTGCAGAGTAAAGCATTGCTTCCGCTGCTGCAACTTACAGTCACATTGGCACTCAATGCGACGCAGCCCAAGCATGCAGCTATTGCGCTGAGCTGCATGAGACCAAAAACTGCAAGCAGAAGGGCGTGGAAGGCTTCACCCCCAGATGCACAGTTTGCAAAGGCGTCCACACAGCGTGGAGCAACGCCTGCTCAGCAAGAAAGAAAGAGATGGGTAGAGTCAAGCAGGCTAAGCAAGTCCGCAACATTTGCTGGCACGTCGTTTCCAAGGAGGAACCCCCCAAGGATAAGAGCTCGCGAACAACGCATCGCCCCACATACGATCTCCCCTCCAACCCAATCAGCACTATATCGAATACCTTAAACGCAGAACCCCTGGATCGAATAACCTCCCTCCCAGAGAACTTAGCTGCACAAGCAGGAAATTCTCCCCAGGAATCACAGATACCCATGGAGATTGAGGTGGCGCAAACACTGACCGACTCACCAATCGCGGAAGACTGGGCAACACCAGCATCACAACAAGGGCCCATGCCACAGCAGCTGATGATCGACCCACAGCTACTGGCAACGGAACAATTCCTGGGAGCTGATCCAGCAGAAGAGGGCATCTCGAATACAGAGGTCAACGAATCTGCACCAATTGAGGCAGCGTCAAGCCAGCAGTCTCTATACCCCATTTGGGAAGAAATCAACGCACATGACGCAGACGCATGGCTAGCCAATCTGGCTGACGATCTCGATGAGGACGTGCCGCACGCCCCCGAGACAACGGGATCCCCACTGACCTCCGTGGCAACGAACACCCGTACGGCGCAAGGGAATATCTAAAAGGGTGTAGCTGCCCGAAGCACCAGGAAATGTACAGCAACTGGCCAACACACGATGCCGAGCTAACAATCACTAAATGCATGAAGATATGCATGTCCTGTGGCAAAGACTTTGAGGTAGCATCGGAACTACGCACACACATAAGGAAGAGGGTGAGATACGTCAAAAGAAACCTGACAGTGCGCTTCGACCCCAAAGGCAAATGGAGCTCCGCCGAACCGGGGTGGACCCGCACACCCCACAGGAGAGCGCCAATCCACCAATCAGAAGCCCGAGAAACCCGCAGCAAAACCCGCACAAACAGCACCAACGAAGCACCACTCTCATGATGAGACACCAGGAACTACGGATCTTACAGTACAACGTCCAGAAGTCAAGGGACGTCGTCCTAGCCAGCTTATTCAGGGACCCTAAGGTTCTAGAATACGACATCCTAGCGATTCAAGAGCCCTGGCGTAACCCATTCATTGCGACATCCTACCATCCTCTTAAAGCACACTTTCAACTAACATACCTTGACGATGACGCCACAAGGGTATGCTTTTACATCAACAAACGAATCGACCCGGGCACGTGGAGTGTTTCACATATTTCCAAGGACATCACCAGTCTGGCCATCCGCAACCCCTTTTCAGGCGGAAACATCCATATATTCAATGTCTACAACGAAGTGGACACCAATACACTCTCCACGCTTGCCGGAGCTATTGACAAGTTGGAATCTGATGAGGAAGTTCCGGTACTCGGGGACTTCAACCTGCATCACCCTCTCTGGTCAGCGCCTCGACGAGCTAGATACGGGCCAAGCGCCCAAGATCTTCTTGCTATCATTGAGACTTTCCAGCTGCAGCTTCTCACAGTGCCTGGAACCCCGACCCGTCGATGGAAAGACGGAGAATCCACAATCGACCTCGCCTTTGCGTCTGAGGGCCTAGCATCCCACGTAATCCACTGCAGGATTGATGAAGACCTCGACTGTGACTCGGATCACCTTCCAATCGCTCTAGCCATCGACTGGAGTTGGCAACCAGCAACTCCAACCCGAAAACGCCTATGGGCAAAGACGAATCAGGCGAAACTCCGAAAGACCGTTGAAGAACGCATTCACTGCCTGGCTAATGCCTCGGAGCTCAAAGACAAGGACAGTATTGACGAGCTTGTCTCTTCCATCATCAGTGCTCCGGAGGCAGGTATCGCTGCATCAACCCCGTGGTCGAATCCGTCACCTCACGCAGTCGCAGGTTTTGACCAGGAATGCAAGGACATGTGCTCGGAAGTTCAACAACTCCGCCGGAGATGGCAGCGATCAAGACAAGATGAAGACTATGAAGCCTATCGACAGGCGCGAAATGATAATATTAAGAACAAAGACTGAGCACGCCAGTGATTCATTCTTTAAGCTAGCAACACGGGACCATCCGTGAGCACGGATACGAGCCTAGTGCAAGGCTTCGGGGTTCCTTTTCTCCCGAGGTGGTGCATCGTCTGAATCTTGCAGCAATGTAAAGCTGGGCAAATGCCTCCTTTGTCTGTATAGACAGAGCGATCCATTCAACCTGAGGAAGTATTAATAATAACGCTGGTAACTGTAACAGAAGTAAGGAAATACCAGTAATCTATCTAGTCCGGGATTAATTCCCCGCAGTCCATCACGCAGGGACATTAGTGGGCTTCTCACCGTCGCTGGAGACTTCATTTTTCAGCATGCTGAATGCCGATTTCACCATATATTATTACAGTGACATATTGTTCTTCCATACAAGTAGCACCATACTCCCCCGCTCCTTTTCTATGGTTTCTGCAACGCAAAAGGTACCCTCTTTCCATCCACACCAGAATACACTGGGCTCTACGATATTGCAAACAACAGGATTACATTATTCCATTCGCGTTCAAGTGAGTCGTTGCCCTACGCACATGTCACCAATCTTATCAAGTTAAGCAGAATGTCCGCCAGCTCTGGTGCAAGCGGATTTTGCGACGTCTGCAACCATGCCAACAACAAACACAACTATTATTACACGTGCACCGCTGCAGGTTGCAGAAAGCGTTTCAAAATCTGCCAGGTTGGCAGCCACGCCTCATTCAATGAATGTTTCAGGCACCGGCTATGTGCGTTGCAAAGGGTGCCGTGATCATCCCTACAGCTGCGCCTACAACATAAGTGATTATGCCTCGACTATAAACAATAATGACCAACCCGCGTGGATGGAGTTGGGCTACAAGGAGAGAAAGGAAAAGGACATTCTTTGGGCCTCTTTGGCTTGGTGGGAACCTAGTGGTGACGAATGGCGTGGTTTGAACTTGCTTCCATAAATATATACAGCGCGTTCCAGAGTTGTTACATAGCCTACGCCTACGTATGATTGGTCAATATAAGTGGATTGCTTAGTAGACATTCGGAGGTCGCCGAGCTGCTGGTGATAATATACTCTCACCCGTCCATCGCGTAGCTCTCAGCTCGTATGGCTCTCCCTACGCTGGAGATTTTGCTCACTATGGAAGACGCCGTTCGCCCAAGTGCTGAGAAACTCACAGAGGTGTACGACAAAGGCTATTGTACTTGGCTCAATCTCTTCCTGCATGCAACTCAAGAGCCCCGCCTGCCGCAAGCTGGTTTCCAAATTCAGAGTTCAATTCTACATCAGCCTTACTTCCCTCGTCATCTGGATTTGAAGCATAATTATGGCAACCTTTCAGTTACTGGGACTTCGATCTGGGAGGTATCACAGGAACCCTGCAAGATCCCAGCGCTGGAAAAGCAGATCCCGCCGCTGGAAAAGCAGCTTGATATTCCAATCTTGATACCTGGGCCAACGCATCTCACTCTGTCTTCGTGTTCCGATCCGCGTTATCATAATTGGTTTAAAGGAGAAGAGAGCCACCTATCTGTGCTAATACTTGCTTGGAGCTACATTCTTTCAGCACGCTGGGCAGATCTTATGCCTTGGTCCCCTGTGCTTGAATATACAGACAGCCAAGCACAATGGAAGGACGACCAGCCTGCTGATAGGGATTCTGTCATGGTAGAGATAGGAAATGTTGACAACAGTGAGGCCAGATGGTGGGCTGCTATTCTGGCTCCCGGAGAGGGCTGGCAGGCCTACATTTCTTCTGGAAAAGACAAATTTAGATCCCCGTGGTCTATAACTTTTGATTCGTCGTCGAGATTTACTCTGTCCCATTACAAATGCTGTCCTGCTTTGTTGAGCCGGGCTGTACCTTTTGAAACTGCCATTTGCTTGCTTTCAGACTACTGCGAGCTACATGATGTTGTGGACCAAAGCCATGCAGCGCTGTCAGCAGTCCTGTTTCTTCCTTACTTGCATGGCATGGGGAAGGATGTTTTCCTACCTAGACCAAGATTTTTCTGTGGAACACAGTTGAAATCTGTCTCACAGCCCGGTGTGCAACCTAACCGCGTCTGCTTGCAGATAAATCACGGTCTTGACAGGCTTCAAGAACCTTGAGCTGCCATACGAAGGGAATACGGGCTATGTTGTCAGGTATCTTCTATGAGCCAGGAATCACTTGCAACTTTGCTAGTCCATGGCCGCAATCTATATTTGCTGTTCTTGATTCTGTGAAAGACAATCGCGTCCTTGCCCACATCCTGATGAGTCAGATTCTGCACCTCTCTTTTCTATGGCTTAGTGCTATCATCATGGGCGTTCATACGGAGGTCTTCAAGGGATGGTTGATACGGACTAATACCTATTGAGCTTCACAGCGCGATGTGGTCTGGAACTATGCAATCATTCATACAGGAACCCATTCAATCGCAGTCGCCGACGAACAGCTCTATTCCCCGTTCAGTTGAATGTCGCCTTCTTTATCTAACTCAAGAAGAACAACACCATCGTTGGCCCATGTGTCAATGGGCGCCATTTGGTGCCTCAGACCTTGACAACACGGAAATTGACGTCCGCCTACATGCAAACTGCTCTGGGCATGGCCGGAAATACGCCGGGTGGGTGTGGGCTTGCCAGAATGGCAACGTAGTAGTTCAGCCCTGCAACCCGGCCCTTGTTCCTACTCGGCTGGCTGCCAGCAGAAGACATATCGTCACATATTCCTGCCAATCATGAGGCTTTTGATCTTGAGGACGAGTCTGCTTCGGAAAATGCAACACGAAGCATCTTCGGCTGGTTGCGAGTTGAAGGATATCCTCCCCAGGAAAAGGACATACACAAACACTATTGGGTTAAGATCGATGACTCCGACGATGAAAACTTGTCTGAATATGGGTTCTCAAAAAGGTTCCATTCCTCCATCTTCAACCGCCAACGTTGTTGTTGACGTTTGGATTGAACACGGTGTCTGAGTCGGGTATGGGTGGCATTCGCGGTTAGTCTAACCGAAGTTGCACCATCGCAAAAAACTGCACGATTCCACAACAGAATCCCCCGCGGGGGGGGGGGAAATTCTGGAGCATGATTCCGAATTAAGATTGGTACAGTCCAGATCAGGCTTAATATAATCTAAATTAAATAAGTAACATTGGTGCAAAGCCCAAGCAAGCGGGTGGCTGGAGTTTCCGGGAGAAACCAGCGTGGAACTGACGAGGTGCCACACGACATCACGTGGCAAGGAGCCATGAATCGGAGACGCACCGATCTTGGTCGGTTCTTCTGTTCAGGGGCCGGAGACACATTCAGCAATACACAGTTTTTTCAATTCTTTCTTGTACCCGTGGGAATGGTCTGTATCTTGTTAATCCCCCCCCCCCCCCCATATACATGGTCATTGACAAGAAACTACATTTGATAGTTAAAATGCTGTTCATTGTGTGGTAGCAAACGATACAATTACAACATGAACTACTGTTGACAAATAACTACCTGCATCCGATTACTCATGATTAAGCAAAATCTCTGATCTTGTTGCTCTCCTTCAGAATCCGGCGGGCCCCTTCTACATCAACTCCCATGTCCTCCTGGACCAACATCTCCAGCAGTTCGGGCTCCAAGACCTCCTGGGCATACATACATACACAACGGTACCATACTTCGAAACAAGGCTATCGATGCCGGCCAGCGAGTCGATATCACGTGCAAAGTGACGCATGACATGCTCCGAGCTACGGGGAGATCAGTAAGGACGTTACTTCGTGAGTCCACAGGAGGGGGCACTTACAGAATCCCATGGCCTCTGAGGCTGTAGTAGCCAGTGCTGTGCAGCACATTCTGGGAGATGATCTTCCTGCTGTGCTTCTGCACTTTCTTGTGCAGCACACTCTTGTAGCAGGAGTGGTATGCGGAATCATTGAGGATACAGCGCAGGCGAGGATGGAATTGAATCAACCGATTGTCGAGGCGGTCCCACACAATGAAGGGATAGCGACGTCAGGACCACTCGCGACATGCAGTCTCCTTTTGGTGGTTCTCGCAGAACCGCAGCTGCTTGCAGACTGGCATGCGATTGTTGGCGGCATTGAACGCGCTGGAATCCTCCATCTCAACCACAGAATTGCACACCGGGCACATGACGGTCACTGTTGAAGACGAGGACGGGGATGGTGTGTGGGGCTCCGTCTTCGGCGTGGACAGGTCACCTGCTCGTTGGGGTTGTCCGCCGGGATCGCGGTGTGAAGTTTCGAGCGGCGTCGCCGGCTTCGATATTGGCAGGGGGTCACCGGCCGACCCACTATCTAAATAGGTTGACAACACGTCTTCTAAGCATGGTTCTCAGGCTCACCTCGCACATCGCTTGGGAGCTACATGCAGGGATCGGTGGGTGCGCTTACATTTCCCCTCTGGCCTCGGCTTGTCCGTGGCGGGGATCACTTGCCGATTCTGTCATGTTGCGTACCATCGTTTCTGCAAGGAGCCGAGTTGTCTCCGCGGAAACCGCTCCTTGATCTCCGCCCAAGAGAAGCCGTCTGTCTTCAGGGCCATTAGGCGGTCGTCCTCCTCTCGCGTCCAGCGACGTCTTTTACCGTCTGGATCATCGATCGTCCGTTCACCGTGATATCTGTCAGTGTCGCCCGCGGCTGTCATTGTACGGCCTGTGGCCATCTCCAAAAACAACTTGAGCTACCGCAGAAGAAAGCATCAGAGCCTCTTCTGGGGCCAATGACGGAATGGGCCAACTAGGCCGCTCGGCATCAATGGGAGGTCGAGAGTGAGCGTGTGTCCAGGCCATGATCTGTGTTCCAGGAGGGCATAGAATGGTCCTTCGCAGTCGTCACTCACACCCTGCTGTCTTCCTGTTCAACACATTCACGATCTGCAGCGGCGGCTGCTCTTGGGATCCGAAACTGAGGACAGCGCGACGTAGTGTCAGATGGCTGTGTGGGAAGCCTGCGACACTTCAGTAGCGGTTTCGTTGGGCCATCCTCTTCGCTGCTCGCACAGTAGTCGTCATCCGTATCATCAGAGTGTGCGCTCGAGCTATCCGTGTCGGACATGGCCATGTCGACTTCGACACACTGCATGGTTTTCCTGGGAAGCTTATGTTCTTCGGTAGCGGGAACCCCACGCCTCGATCGTGCACGAGCCCTCCGTTGGTGGGTCCGGAGTCCGCTGCTCAGCCCATTCTCGTACGGCATCGAGCTCAACATGCCTTCTTCGAGGCGATCCGCGATGACTAGTACTTCGACCGCGACCCATAGGTTGCATGGCACCGGTACTTAGCCCGGGCCGGCGTTATCTTTTGAGCGGGGTAGAACGGCCACCGGTGATACCAGTGCCGGCTTCGTCGCTTCCACCATCTATCTTTAGGGAGCGATATATATAGATGCTGCACGGCTAGAAGTGCCTCGTTTGGCGGGAGATGTGAAGTTGCTGTCAACAATGGACCCGTCCGCAGTGCTGTCACCAGAGTCTACCATGATTGGCGGATCGAAGGGCAGAGGGTCATCACCCTGACTGCTTCGGGGCCATTCTCGTCTATGTGATGCATCCTGATCCGACCACGGCTCCGATAAGCCAGCCTGTGGAATTGAATCCAGTACGGGCGTTAAGCTGCCGTGGCCAGGAACAGTCTTTGTGCCGGTGGATTCAGCCAGGCCGCATTCCACGGCGGGCAAAGGAACCGGTAAGGATTCGTCATTTTTCTCCTGGCCTCTGTCCTCATCCCCAACAGGAAAACCTAGGAGGCGCCCTGGTGTTAGAAACCGGCCTATCCAGATAGAATAAAAAGAAGAAAGGGAAAAGAGAGAGAGAGCGAGCCAGCTACATACCGTGAGGACCATGTCTCTCATCATTCAAACACCGGCTCGAGCGTTCCACGTCTGCATCGCTGGGGATGGGGGGGCAGAGAGATGGATTGAGATCGGCAGCATCAAGTCCCGCGAAGAATTCATCAAAATCATTCGGGCGGCTATCCCCTGCCCGAGACTGGACCTCATGGTGATCTTTGAAAGGGGGGGAAGGCTGAACATGCGACAGACGACTGGAGGAAGGAGGTCGAGGGGGTAAGGGTGGGAGAGTGCTTGAGGGCTGATAGAGGGTGCAGGGACAGTCTGGAGAGATTTGGATGTAGAGAGTGTAGGGTAAGGGGGTTGGTGACTCGCGGGCACAGGTTCTGGAGGGAGATTCGGGGGGTTATGGGACTGAGGAGTTTTGGAAGCCCTGAAAGGGGGGTTGGAAGGGGTATAGACGTTCCAGTCACTGTACATGTTCGCAGAAGAGATGGTGATCTCGCGTAGTTCATTGGAACAGCAGTGGTGAATCCACGGGGGAAAGGAGACCATTTATCTACAGTTTCCACTGCTCTGGCGATAGCTCGCTCCATCCTCCCTATTCCTTCAAATAAGCTCGTCGGCCAGAAAAACCTACACCCGCTCAAAGCAAGCCGATGAGCGTCAGGCTCTCCAAACATCGTCAGCCACTGGATCCCAGCCCTCCCCTCACCGCATGAACCACACACGTAACACCAGAATGTAACCCAAGCAGGGTGCGAGTAGCGACCGGCCACGTCCATGGCCTGTCGGGTGGGCGCAAAAGTGGCGCCACAGCCTTCTCCAGAACTGGTCCAATTTCGCTCAAATGATCCAGGCATAGAAGGCGCGAGAATCATAGATGAATCAGATGTGAATTCCCGAAAAGTGAGTGAGAATGAGCAGCATATGATGGCTGTGCACATGCAGCTATAGTCTCACTTACAGTCTTCTCACATCTTTAGCCCTGTATCCTCTTCTTTATCACATCATTTTTGCATCTCTACATGATATACATAATGCAGACTGAAAAGTCTGATGTGAGAATGATCAGACAATATGACTTCAACTTGCTCATATATATATTATAGAGATTTTTTATTGAGATTGATAGATTCAGCTGCAAGATCATTACACTAAAGCTGAATCTGAAATTCTTCAGATTATAGATAAAATGAAGACTATGGCATGTGATTGAATTTCTTTTTCTATTATTTTCAACATATTGAAACAGCAGTGAATGACAAGTTGAAGAACAAATTCAAGAATTGAAAAAGAATAATATCAGTTCAACTATGCTGCAATTAAGATCAATCACTTATTTTCACAGAATTCACTAAGATATTTTTGTTATTGATCATTAAGAAGAAGATATATCTGCAGCATAAGAGAGAAATTATAGAGAAAAAGAAAAACACTATGAATAAGACAGATTAACTATTAATATAGAAAAAGTTTTTTTTTTTTTATTGTATATATATCATTTCAATTCAAGATAGAAGTAAAGAGTAAAGAAATAGTAATAAAAGTAGAAAAAGAAAATAAGTAAAAAAATATATATTCAAAAAAAAAAAAATATTTAGACAGATTCAAACAAATAATCTTCTTCATAACTAATTCAATTTCACTTGAATAATTTAGACATGAAAGATGTGAGTGTCAAGACTTCAATTTAGATGCAGATGAAACAAATGTTTGATTATCAACTAGATAAGCTATATAAATAAAATATTAAGATAATTTCTCTAAGAGATGAGTTTGAGAAAGACTCTGTTTATATAGCTTTTTTCTTAGTGCTGTTTTTCATATTTATATATTATTTGCATATAGAGTAATTGTGAGGTTGATTGATATATCAATGTCTAGACAGTTGTAATTACTGATTATCTCAGCCTGTAATCTTATATTGTTAAAAAGACTAAAATAAAGCTCACTTATTTTATATCATCATATTACTTTTCTTTTGAAGTTTAGGCATACTCTTATACTGATAGATTATCATTTATTTTATCTGTTAAATAGTTATTCTTTTCTCAAGTTTTCAGTTATTTACTTAATCACTTTAAAGGTTCTGCTTTTATTGAATTTATAGCATAAAATTTTTAAATTAGATACAGTAATTCTTTTAGATTTAAAGCTGAATATCATATCGAATTATTATCAAATTCTAATTATTTTACTCAATATTAAAGCTTTTCATAAGAGATACAGCTCACTAGAATATTCTCAATCTCTCACTTATTTTCATTCTATATCTGAACTAATTTTGATATCTTATTTAATTGTTCTGATAGAGAGTCATTCATGACTTTTCATAGCTTGTCAAAGGAAAATATTAAGTGAATTTTCATATTATTTGATAGATTTAGTCTATAGCTATTGTTAATCTTCTCAATAATTTCAAAAAGACTTTTATTTTATTTTATAAGCTTTTTGCTGAGGTGTTGAATTTTATAATTCTTGAGTGACAAAAAGATCTTATCTTTTATCTTAAAGTTTGACTTCTGATGATGCTTATTGATCTATAATTTTATAATTTCTTGTGCTTTTTTCATATTGTCAGCTGTCAACTTTTAAATTTTTTTTATTTAAATAATATGCTGCTGAGTATCTTCTCATTTAAACTTCTTCTCTCTAGATAGTGTTTTTAGCAGTGACTTTCAATCAAAGAATGTTTGAGATTCATATCTATAAGCAGTTAGAAAAAGTGATATTTCAATTGATTCATTCTTCAAAGTTTCAGCTATATGTATTACAGCGTAGCTGCTTGTATATGAATTAAGATCGATCCACCTCGCTATACTATAAAGGTTAATCCGTTCCGACCTTAATCATATTTAGTTGCTCATATTGATATGATCTGATCCTCAATTATATCTGCTCTAAAGGTTGATTTGATCTGATTCCTAACCACTTTTATATATTTGACTGCTTATTCATTCTTTATTCTAATTCTCAGTTTAGTATTTTCATTACAGCTACCTAGTTAAATAGATGAATTGAAGCTGTTGTCTTGTTATTATTTTGACTTTAGTTGAGTTATGACAATGTGATTCATCATTAACAATCATTCATCTCAGTTGTTCTGATAGTAGTTTACATACAAATGAAACTTGATTATCTATTTGCATATAATGAGCTGATAAAACCTTTAGCTTAACTTTAAATTATCTAATAAACTTATCTCAGAAATCTAAGATAAATTATGATTCATGATCTAACGCAATTGAATTTGATACTTTATAATACTCATAATAGTATTTCAAGAACAGTTTTAACTGCTCTTTAATATCTGTTTTTTTGTAATGAAGATAGATATAAACTTCTTATTTAATTAACAGATAATTATCAATATCATATTATAATCTCTTTTTATTATTAAGTTATTCATGAAGTTCATTGATATATATTATCTGATTTTGCTAAAAATTAATAGTGACTTCAGCAGCTCTGAGATCTTATTATAGAAGATTTTTATTCATTAATATATTAGATAGTTACTTATATATTAATTAATATTTTTAATTTAATCACTTTAATAGTATATTATCTTCACTAGTGAGTATAGCTTTCTCTTTTCTGAATGTGCTGTTGATGACTGCTTATGAATCTTCTTTAGAAGATATATCTGAAGAGTAGAATCTTCTTCAATTGATATCTGTGATGATGTAGAATGAGCTCATGTCCAACCTTTTCAACAGCATAATCACCACAGGCTGAGGTGATTAGTCATCACACAAGCTGAGGCAATTAGTAATTGCAACTGTCTAGACAATAGTATAGCAGTTAACCTTAACAATTATCTTATATACAAATAATATATAAATGTGACAAATGTCTAATAACTGCACTAAGAAAAAGAACTATATAAACAGAGCCTTCCCTGAACTTATTTTTTAGAAATCATCTTAATATTTATTCAGATAACTTATTTAGTTAATAATTGAACATTTATTTATATGTATATAAATTGAAACTGTGATATAATATTAAGATTAAATACTTTTCTTACTCTTTTTAAAGTAGATTTTTAAATAAAAAATCTTTGAGAATTCTTATCTACTTTTGTTTTTGAATCTCTGAGAAAATTGCTAAGATATTGAAAGTAGTTATAGAGTCTGACAGTCTATGAAAATTAGACTGAGGTATGATGACTCTGACTAAGAGAAATATTAAATCAAGAAATCTTATATTAAAGAAATAATTTTTTATAGCAATTGAAGAGAACTCAAATCAGATATATCAAGAAATTACTGATTTTATAAATGAGGTAAAAGATATTTTAGAAAGATTAAAATAGAATAAAATAAATAGATAAAGTAAATAAATAAACTTGACTAGTAAGTGAATAACTTGATAGAGAAATAAATACTTTACAGTAGAGAATGAACTTTTTAACCTTTTAAATTAGACTAATAAACACTTAACAGATGCAATGATTAATCAAGTTTAATAACTCTAAGTATCTTATTAATGGAAAAAAATCAATATTTAAAAACTAATTCTTCTGAATGAAATGCAAATTAGCTATTAATGTAGATTACTTTTCAACTAAAGAAAACTATATTATCTATATTGAAAACTAAACTGATAATGAAGCTGCCAGACACTTAGTCTCAAAAATAAAAAAAGATTATTTTGAGAAGTTTGAAATAGCTGAAAAAGTATTTAAATATCTATAGAAAATATATAAAAATATTAATAAGTTTAAAAATATAAAAATAAAATACTGATAACTAATAATGAAAAATTAAGATGACTATCATGTATTTATAATCAAGTTCTTGTATCTGACTAATGAAGCTCAAGTTTATAAGAAAAATTATAAAGTAGATTTTTTTTATAAGATTTTTTTTGATCTTCAACTCATAATTGTAGTAGTTTGCATCAATTGCAGCATCTTTCATAAGATTCAAAAAATCTGTACCAGGACTGCTCACTATGTTTAGTTAAAATAACTGATGATTACTTAATTATAAAGAAATTTCTATAACTCAAAATAGTTACGAGAGAACTCTCTCAATTTAAAATCATAAATTGACTTCAATTATATTAGTACAGATAACTGAGAATAAACTAAAGAATAAAAATTAAAAAAAAATATAATATACTCTAATTGTTGAAATAAAAATTATATAGTATAAAATTACTTATATAAGTAAGAGATAGAAATGAAGAAAATAAATATTGAGACTACTATTATCAAGTCAGAAAAAGATTAGATCTGAGAGAAGTCTTTTTCTCAAATAAAATAGTTATATTAAAAACTTTGAATGTGAATTAGTTAATAAGTGAAAATTCTTTTACTGTATATAGTAAAGTAGCTTTTAATAAATATACTATTTCTACAAGAGCACTAGTGAATTCTAAAGCAAATTACTATATTCTTATTAATATAAACTTTGTATATAGATATGTTAAAGTCTTAAAAGTAAACTCTGAGAAGTTGACAGAAAATTATCAGATTGTGAAATTCAATAATCAAAAAGAAACTTTAATTATAGAAGTTATTTTTCTGTATTTATAAGTAAATAAATAAAAGTTTCTCAATACATCAATATTAATGATGAATTTAAAAAGCACTGATATAATACTAGAATAATTCTAACTAACAAAGTAGAAAATATAACTAAATATAAAGAATCAATATTTAGTTTGATCAAGTATATAGATAATTAAGAATAAAATATTAAAAGAATATAATATAATAATTTCAAGAAAGATTTTAAATAATCAGTAGCAAAGTCAAAGTATTAATAAAATGCAAACTGTTATAATAAACTTATTGAAGAGAAATTTAAATAAGAAGTTACTAAAAGATCTGTGAGATCTCAATAAAGAA